ACACAAACGGAGCGATGGAAGGACGCTTGGCTGGTGGTGGAAGCGCTGCATTGCCCCTCCTCGGAGAATCTCTAATCATGTGACCCGGCTAGTTACAACCAAAACAGTTCCTAGTCCCCGCTACTGGTGCTTGCTGCCACCGTGGGTGCTGCTCCCTGAGCTCCCAATGGCCTACTCCAACAGTTCCTGGCTATATGTCCCATCTTTCCACAAGTGTGGCACTGGACTCTCGACTGATCCCAATCCTCCTCTGTGGCTGGGAAGTACTCCCCGATTTAGGCTGAACGGTCTTAGAAAACTTCTGCTCCTCTAATAAACATTTCTCCTGAGTAGCAGCCTTCTCCACCAAATCCTCCAAATTGGTGTAAGACACCAGACTGCATCTACCACAAAGTTCCACTCGCATCCCATCCAAGAACCTCCTGATTAGATCCTCCTCATCCATAGTGTTACCGGCAAACATGCGGAGACGGCGAAACTCCAGCTCATACTCCCTGACAGTCCTAGTACCCTGCCTCAAATGCTCAAACTCATTCTTCTTCTGGTGTAGAGTTTCCCTGGGAAAATACTTCTTATTGAACGCACGGAGGAAATCGTCATAGGTATGATTGATCCCACACATCAGCTTCACTTCATCCCACCATACTAAGGCATCTCCATGCAAATACAACTCGGCGATATTGAGGCGGAGTCGGTGTGAGCAATTAATGATATCCAGACAACTATCCAGCCTATGCTTCCAATTATAAGCATCTTCCGCACCAACCGAACCCAAGAAAGGCTCCAATTTCACATACTTCATTTGCCCCATCATCTTAATAAGTGTCTCGTCACACTCAACAAACTTCTCCGGAAGGACGGGTGGTGGTGGTGGTGGTGGTGGAAATTGAAATCCCTCTGGAACCTGCTGCGCGGGAATCTGGTGATCCTGCTGAACCTGAATCGGTGGAACCTGCTGCACATGAATCTGCGGACCATGCTGCACCTGAACCCGAGGACCATGCGGAATCTGCGGACCCTGCTGAACTGCAACCATCTGTCTAGCGACCTCTTGTGCTGCTACTCTGGCAGCTTCCTAAGCGGCCTGTCTAGCTGCATCTTGGGCAACCTGCTAAACTGCTTCTTGAGCAGCTTGTCTAGCTGCATCCTACACCATCTGCCTCAAAGCGTCCTGATCAACCGGTGGAGGTGGAGGTGGAGGCTGCGGAACTGTGGGCTGCTCATGCTCATCTCCAGCCTCTCTAGCAGCTCTAGTTGTCTGAGTACGAACAACTCTCAATCTCGGTGGCATCTGAAAGGGAAACAAATCGGTTAACTTCTATCGAACACATAATTCAAAGGGTTAAAGAAGTGATACCAGACATAATGGTGCTATTAATTTTTATTTTGAAAATTCCCAATTTCCCAAAATACTTTTAAAATCGTTTAAAACCAAAGCAAAACCAAATTAAAATCCGAGTTAAAAATTCAAGTCTCCACGAATCGCCATCCCGGGTCGGAGCCGGGACGGAACCACGCTCTGATACCAAAAATGTGACACCCGCCACTTAGAAACCAATATAAATAAAATAACCGAATAATAATAACATAAGTCTTCATTGCCAAATACTGAAAAGTCAACATCCACGTCGGGAAATACATAATACAACATAACATCCGAAATATAAATAAAAACATAACGGTAAAAGTACGAAGGCTTATAAGCCCAATAACGATAAATACGATAAAATAGGATAGAAGCCCAAAAGCTCAAATAGCACCGGTCCGATAGAATTACTCTTGCTCGTCGGTCTCACCTGCAAGGGGGAAAAGAAAGGAGGGGTGAGCAACAAGGGAGTCGCTCAGTGAGGTATGGGGTGCTAAACCTCAAACCATTGACTCAGTACATAGCACTACGACTATGTAGGCCTAGCTCTAGCATGAATCAAACACGGTGATAGAACACCACACAGAACACACAATGCAAATCTAGTACACTAGTCAACTATCAAATATCAACTATCAACTATCACCCATGCGCTCATAGTACATAGCTACTCCCTGCCCGCGCATCTCCTCACAAGGATATACATACTCGCTGTGTCGCTAATACAGTCTGTTTTTCTACCCCCCGCACAACCATCCGCTGCGTCGCTAGTACAAACGTCTTTCTACCACAAAACCCACAAAACCCAAGGCACAAGATGATCCAAAAGTCTTTACCGGACATAATGGTGCTATTAATTTTTATTAACTTCTATCGAACACATAATTCAAAGGGTTAAAGAAGTGATACCGGACATAATGGTGCTATTAATTTTTATTTTGAAAATTCCCAAATTCCCAAAATACTTTTAAAATCGTTTAAAACCAAAGCAAAACCGAATTAAAATCCGAGTTAAAAATTCAAGTCTTCACGAATCGCCATCCCGGGTCGGAGCCGGGACGGAACCACGCTCTGATACCAAAAATGTGACACCTGCCACTTAGAAACCAATATAAATAAAATAACCGAATAATAATAACATAAGTCTTCATTGCCAAATACTGAAAAGTCAACACGGTGATAGAACACCACACAGAACACACAATGCAAATCTAGTACACTAGTCAACTATCAAATATCAACTATCAACTATCACCCATGCGCTCATAGTACATAGCTACTCCCTGCCCGCGCATCTCCTCACAAGGATATACATACCCGCTGCGTCGCTAATACAGTCTGTTTTTCTACCCCCCTCACAACCATCCGCTGCGTCGCTAGTACAAACGTCTTTCTACCACAAAACCCACAAAACCCAAGGCACAAGATGATCCAAAAGTCTTTACCTTTTATCCTTACGACATACTGACACTTCTTCATGTTTTAATTCAGAGATCATATTCGAGAGCTATTTATCTTCACACCTTACAGCAATCGCTACCGCCTTATCGAAACAAAACAAAAATAAAATTGGTAATATTGGATCAAAACTAAAAGGCAACGGCTTTTCAAATGGGTTATCAACACCACCGAAGAAAAAAAAAGAAATTGGTCATTGCCATAACTTTTAGATTCGAAATCGTAATTCGGATTCGGGTGGACCTGGTGAGATGTCCTCAAAATTCAAACTACATAGACTTTTACTGCTACAGCTTTCGATTCTTCACTATAGGTTTTCGGGTTTGGGTTTGCTTGGAAGTAAGTTGAGACGAAGCGGTTGAGAAATCTATATATGAGGATACAGAGAGGGAAGTGTAACGAAACTATAAAGAAGGAATTAAAGAGCACCATTGATTAATAAGAAGAGCTCACTGTAACGGACATCACAGAGAGCCGAGATGGTGAAGATGAAGTGGAACGCGATCAATACGTCAGATAATATGATTCTTGGTTGCTGGGTCGACATAAGCCCGAGTTAAGTTTTTGAAACCACACTCTACTCCCATTTTTCTCTTCCTTCCCTCTGTAGCTTATATGACGTGGTCAAATACTGTTTTTCATTGGTCGAATTTTTAATCCTTCGTCGATGATCTCTCCATTGAGTACTTAGAACTTTTAGTATTGTAAGATTCTTTCTGTTTTATAATGATATATATTTTTAAAAATATATTTATGTACATTTTTAGTATATATTTTAACAGGTAACAATGGTAATTATAAATATTGAAAATTAACGTTTATTAAACTTAAATATGATAGAAAAATAGATATTCACAAAAAAAAATGTATTTACAATCAAAATTTCATATATTTTATTACTATGTGTTAAAAACCTAAATATAAATTATTAGGGGCTAGACCACGCTTCGCCCAAGAGTTTGACCATTATGTTTTTTTTTTCTGGAAATTGCTAAAACTAGCACATTCATGATACACTATTTCACTTTTACATTAATCATCTTTATCCTTACAATTTTGATAGTCAAAAGACCATGGTACCCTTAATTAATCAAACATAAACCTATTACCCTTAATTAATTAATCGCCGGGGATCTCTTTTCTTCTCCTGTCACGAGAATAAAAACTCCAACGATTCGCCAATCTCCGACGAACTCGACAATATCCGGCGAACTTGGTGATCTACAGTGAACTCGGTTATCTCCGACAAATTCGGCGAAGATTTCCGACGATGAAGAACGAAGAGCTCCGACGAAAAAATGATACAGGAAACTCCGACGGGATTCAAGAGGAAACGATTGATTCTATTGAAGTGAAGGTCAAGAATCCTGCTGCTGTTTGATGACGATGTCTGATCAGACTCTTGAGATTGATTCAAATCGTGAATCTGAATCCTTGGAAGCAGATGTGGCTACTGGACAATGTAAGATTACTATGGAGCATCACACAAAGGAGGTAAGAACGTGATCCATAGAATGATAAAGTCCCTTATTTATGTTGCATATATTCTCATGATTTATAGTTTTTTTTTTTTTTATGGATGACAGGTTCAAGCGGTTTCTTGGAATCACTATGGTACAGAAATGCTTCTCAGTGGGTCATTTGATCAGACTGTTGTATTGTTAACCTCTTTGTTCCATGTTCTACTTTATCTTTTACTAAGAGTTATCATTAATATGGGTTGTATATTATGTTGCAGAAAGACGGAAGATAACCTTCACATGCGGGTTTCAAATGGTATGTCATGTCTGATGTCGAAAGCTTAGCTTGGAATCCACACAGTGAACACTCCTTTGTGGTTAGTTACACGTTGCTTTAGCTCTTATAGTAGACAATATGATGTTATGGAAGCTCTTAACATTTTCCAATTAATTAACCTACTCTCTTAGGTTAGTCTTGAGGAGGGAACCGTGAAAGGTTTTGATATACGGGCTGCACAGTCAGGTTCAGATCCTATTTTGGTGATGGTGAGGAGAAGAAGAAAGGTGAAGACTTGGGGGGGGGGGGGTAGAAGAGTGGTGTTGTCAAGGTTGGGTTTTCACTTGGTGGAGGGGTTAAACCGGTTGTTACTAATGGTGAGAGCTCGAAGCGTGTGTTTGAGGAGGAAGAGAAGGATGAGAGAGAAGAGAAGAAGAGGATGAAAGGTGGAGACTTGGAGCGGAGGTCTGCTTTGGATGAGTTGATGAAGGAGGAAGAGAGGAAGAAGGAGAGGATGAATCGTAAGCCTTATTGGTTGTTTCAAGGGATTGTTATGAAGGTGATGAGTAAAGCTCTGGCGGATAAAGGGTATTATAAGCAGAAGGGTGTAGTGAGGAAAGTGATTGATAACTGTGTTGGGGAGATTGAGATGATTGATTCTAAGCATGTGTTGAGTGTTGATCAGGAGGAGCTTGAGACTGTGATTCCGCAGATTGGTGGGTTGGTGAAGATTGTGAATGGAGCATATTGTGGCACAAATGCTAGGTTGTTGGGTGCTAAAGTGCAGATTGAGAAAGGTGTATATGAAGGAAGAGTCATCAAGTCCATTGAGTATGAAGACATATGCAAACTTGCTTAGTTATTACATCTTTTAGACGAGCATATCAGGTCCTTACATTACCTCATGTTTCAACTTTGAACCTTTCTTTGTATCTACAAGTGAGTTTTAGACACTCACTCTTATGAGATCATAAAAGAATGTTCCAAAGATTCTTTTTTCTTTTTGGTTTTTCATTCTCTTTTGTCCATCTAAATCTTTGTGGCGAACGGGGTTGCACTGCAGCTCAGAGGATTGAAGATTATGGGTGTGACGCATTATAATTCCTGATGGATCGTGTTATGAGAAAGGTACTGCAGATAGATAGAGATTCTGTTTCATGACAATGTTGTTGACTGGATTGTCTTTGACTTTCATTGGTTTACTCAGTGTTGTTTGTACGTGTGACTACTGTACTATTTTTAAGAAACGCTGTGATGTTTTGATTGTGCTTTCACAAACAAAGGTCGGATTATATAAATTTCAAGTTGACTTCTGAGATGAAATGCCATGAAGGGTGAAAGCACATATAGGTTCGTTAATACTGTAATTATTAATACATTAACAATTACATAGACCAAGTCTTTGCAAAAGCAACACTTTGAATTGTAGAAGAAGACCAACCTTTCATCATAGCCAATGGGCACCAACAATATTAACGGCCCAATAATGATAATACAATTAGAACGCGGGGACTTTTTATTTTCTTATATATATATTGATAGAAATGTAACATTTTGGAATAAGTTTACACCTGAAAAGACAATTATCCACAACCAGAAGCCTTTCCTTTTGGAGGAGGCAATCAATAAGCAAACTAAAAACAAAGTTGGTCCAGTGTACAGTGAAAGTTTGGTTTGTTGGTTCTTACTTCTTGGTCAGTCCTTAATAACAAAGTTCCCAGATAGTAAAGGAAGAGGAATATTTAACAACACTAATACAAGTCCACAACTTTATCTTTCTACTTCCTTATTCACAGGAAAATCAAATCAATTTAAGGGCTTTTAAAAAAAAAATCGTAGCATTCTTTCTCTGTCCCCTCTGAAATCAGAAAAAATATTATATTCAGAAAGAGTAAGTTATAAGCCTCAGAGGGAATAAACAACAGCCAACAAAGAAACACAACATAAGCTAAAGTGATATCATATTACTATATAAAAGCTTATAAATTGTTTTGATGTATTATCACAATATCAGAAAACCCAGATTTATAAGGTAATTTCGGGGGTTTAAGTTGTATTATTATTATTAATAAACTAATTTTAGTTTTAAAAGTGTTAGAAAGTGATTTATAACCATTTAAACCTTTATAAACCCCTCATAAATTTGTGTATAAAATTTATAAATTTTTTTTATAAACTTTATGAATGTTTTATAAACCCTTATAAGTAATTTGTAAATGGTGTATAAAATTTATGTACTTTATGAATGATTTATAAATTGTTTATAAAAATCTTATAAATATCTTGAAATCTCTAATAAATGATTTATAAGAATTTATAAAATATTTATAAACCCTTATATATAATTTATCTTTACCACTTCTTGATGTTTATTTTCAAAACTACCTAAAGTTTGAAATGAGTAATTGAAAATAACGAAAATAATCCTAGTTAGACTCTTATAGTTGATTTAAAGACCTCCAATTGATTTCTAAACCTGTATATACCTATATAAACCTTATAAATTATATGCATACCCCTTTTAAATTATTTATAAACTTTTATATTTTTTTGAATAAAGATTTATAAATAGTTTATATACTTTAAAAAATTATTTTATAAGCCTTTATAAATGTTTATAGACTCTTACAAATAATTTGTAAACCTTTATAAACGGTTTATAAAATTCATTAATTGATTTTAACAGTGGGAAGTAAGTTAGCAGCAACTGTGAAATCATGAGCAACCAGCTGGCCATGTTTCTTCTTCTTCTTCTACAACAGCAACAACCACCAATGCTGAAAGCTCTTTGTCCACTCCTATGATCAGTGAAGAGCTAAAGATGTATTCTCACCTCAAACGTTTACAATGAAAGAATTAATCAGATGGTGATGGTCTGTACTAGTTTTTGGTCTCCTCTAGTGATGGTTGGAAATTTTCTAATTATTTTGAGTCTGTTATTTGTAATGTTTATAAATTGAATTTGATTTATATGAGTTTATAAATGACTTATAAGTGTTTATAAAGACATAAAATAATTTACAAAGGTTTATAATGTGATTATAAGAGTTTTAAACTGATTTATAAAGGTTTATAAACTAATTTATTAAGGTTTATTTGTTAATTTATGAAATGTATTATTTATAATAGTCTATAAGTTTGATTCATAAGAGTTTATAAACTGATTTAAAAAGGTTTAAAAACTAATTATAGGGTGTATAAGTTGATTTATTAATTTTACTAAATTGGCTTTTTATTTATAAGAAATTATAAACTGATTTATAAAGGTTTATAAATTACTTAAACCATGATTATAAACCAATTTTGTAAGACTTAAAAACAATTTTATAAAAACTTATAACTTATTTATAAGGGTTTATAAAATGATTTCTAATGGTTTATAAACATATATAAATTATTTATAAATTACACATATTCATGATGCATTTGATTTTTTAAATAGTATTGCAAATCCATATAAATTGTTTTATAAACCCTTTATAAAAATCTTACATAAGCTTTTAAAATATATTTATAAGCTCTTATAGATACAGATATGAAGAATATTGATATGATTTTTTAAATCCTTATAGAGACAGTAATACAAATCAGGTTGAAGGTTTAGAAAACATGATGTAAGGGATTATGTGTTTAATTTCAAAAATT